CGCAACAAAGTTGCTAAAGAGAGTATTATAGTTTTGTTCACATAACGGTTGTTTGTAAGTCCTAAAACTAAAAGAGTCAGATATAGGGTTATATATACAAAAGTAATCAGGGTGATGAGTAGAGTTGAAATCCCGAAGTCTGTCTGTCCGTCCGTCCGCCTGTCCGTCTGTCCGTCCGTGCAAGCTGTAACTTGAGTAAAAATTGAGATATCATGATGAAACTTGGTACACGCATTTCTTGGCTCCACAAGAACGTTAAGTTCGAAGATGGGCAAAATCGGCCCACTGCCACGCCCACAAAATGGCGAAAACTAAAAACCTAGCAAATGTCATAACTAAGCCGTAAATAAAGATATTGAAATGAAATTTGGCACAAAGGATCGCATTAGAGAGGGGCATATTTGGAAGTACTTTTTTTTGGAAAAGTGGGCGTGGCCTCGCCCCGTACTAACTTTTTTGTACATATCTGATAAAGTACTATAGCTACCTCAACCAAACTGTATAGAGTCGTTTCCTTCAGGCATTTTCATATACAGCTCAAAAATGGAATAAATCGGATAATAACCACGCCTGAAATCTCGATTATCACTTTATCATGCGAAAGTATAAAATGTTCGGTGACACTCGAACTTAGCCCTCCCTTACTTGTTTTTTTTTTATTTTAAATATCCGAACATGTTTTTTTTATCTCGAAATTGTCCGAAACTGCTTGTAAAGTTTTAAAAAGATCGCAAAAACCGCACGTCAATTAATTTTTCGATTTCCCTCCGAAGCATCTCATACTAAAGGGTGAAAGGGACATATTAACAATTAACTGGAAGTACGCTTTAACAGCACATATTCATAGGGAAACAAAGTTGGCAATAAAATAAAAAAAAAATATTTAAGACTTACATTTGCTTTCCTCATTAAACTTTTCCAGGGAAGGTCAACAGTCACCGGAGGAATGGCATCGCCTCTACGGCAAGTGTTCCGGCAATGAGATCTATCACATTGTGCTCGGCGACAGTCGCTTCTTCGGCGAGTACGAGGGCAAAAGCTTCACTTATGCCAGCTTTCATTCACATCGAAAGTGAGTAGACGATGAATGTCAGACACACACAGACATTCGTATGATTTCTCTTTTTGCGTTTGAACTTAAAAGCTGTCGCTTGGTCAGCGACGCTGAACGTTGACGGATGGGCATGTACTAATAGCAACAATTGAAGTGAATTTAATTTAGCACTGATTGAATTTTGTGCTCTCCAACATTGGATTTTCAAATTCACTGATGGATATTCACTCACTTTTCATTTTTATTTTTTTTTTTTATTGCTTTGACGGAGTTTTTCAATTTATTTTTTTCGCATTTTTTTCCATTCTGCATTTGTCTTTCGCTCGTCAGATATGGCGTTGCATTGGTCGGTGTGCGTCCAGCTGAGCTGCCGGAATTCTACGAGGACACCATACTGCTGAATCCGGGGCCGCGGCATATCATGAAGAAGGACGACACATGCTATTATATGAGCATAACAAAGGAGGAGAATTCGGCCTTTGTTGTCAATCAAAATCAGAATCAAAATTTGGATACGCAAGCGACGACAAAGGACGGTGGTAAGTGACCTTACATATGTAGTAACTCTCTCTCACCACTTACAGACCATTGCCGTTAAGTCTCTCAGGCAGCAAGGCAAATAATAACAAGCCTGTTGTTCATCTTTGTTCGTTTCAAATTATTTTTAACTTTATTTGAAAGTCTTTAAAGCATTAGTTATATCTTATAGGCGTATGTGTGTATGCGCTTTCTTATATAATATGTTTACATTTATATATAGTGATATATAGTGGCTGTGCGTTTGTGTGTGTGTATGCACAAAGTGAGCAAAAATTGTATAACTAGTATTAAATGCTATTGAAAAATATGTTATACATATATACATTTATACATATATATGTTTAAGTACATATTACATAAAGAACTACTGAAACATTAGGGATGTCTTTACATTTTACGATTTTTCTTTAGTTTTCTTGTATACCGTTTTTCTAGCTCATATAATCTACTAAGCAAGCATTCATATCGAAAATATTAAGTACCAAGCAAATATAAGGGATGTCCTTATTTTTCAGGAGTTTTTTTTAAATTAAACTAATCATTTATGTTGGATAGTCTTGATTCGGATATTCGCTTAACACTAAAGTATTTTCTTACAAACTAGATGACTAGAAGCGGCAACCCTTAGTTTCGGAGAAGAGAAGGTCGAAACCCTTTACAAATATATATATATGTATATAAATGATCAACTTGGGGAGCCTGACGTGATCTTGGGCTATATTTTGTAGCTCGATTCAAAACAATTTAATCCTAACTGCGAATAGAATACATTTTCGAACTGAGATACAGAATAGAACCTGTCTATACACATAAACTAGCTCTTCGGTTTTTAGATATCTATCAATAGACATAGGGTTACCTCCCCCAGATGTCACTTATTCGCCGGGACCGTCACTATCGGACTGCTGTAGTAGATATCCATACAAACTAACTGATCCACATTATGTTCTAACCAAGATTTTTTTTATTTGAGATAATATATTCAAGAAACTCTACTCAGATCATTTCCAAATCCTATAGCATATTATACTATATGTATATATAAAGAAATTCATAAAAGACTATTATGTAACCTTATTTCGGCTTGAAGGTTATTTCTATCCAAACGGTAGAAAGAACTATTAAATTGTTTTCCATTGGACACATACCTCAATGAGGTTTTTTGAGGTTTCATATTTAGTCATACATATGCAGTTAAGGTGCGATTAGGCTGGTGGGCTAATGGACCAAGCATAGACCATGTTTGGATCCTTATAGAAATCAGGCTGAATGCCGTTACATAGTTCATGTGAAGACCTCATTCCTGAAGATGCCAGCGCTTGACGCGAATTGCATTAGTCTCTATGGCGTCAATAACAATATCTATAGCAGGGTCTCATACTAAATGAAGCTAATGCTTGAAGCGTTACCTTCTCGCTTTGTCAGTTAATGTCCGCCTCCAGACGGTGACCAGGGATTATTTCAATCTTTTTCCTACAGTTCCATCTATAAAAAGCCAGCAAAAACTTTGTGTATTTCTGAACTATAGCTTTACACTTGACTTTTTCAGTTCATCAATCCGGTATCCGGTCCTTGAAATGTCGACCCACAGTTCTTTTAAACCAAATTGCTGATAAGTGCTCTCAGATAGCTGTATTACAAACCGAGCAGAAAGTCGTTCGGCTGTCGGTTGTGACTGCAGCTTATGTGTGCCTTCTGTCTATCACAACATAATCGATCTGGTTGCTGTTTCGATCCGGAGACAGCCAGGTAGCCTGACGAAATTTCCTATATTAAAATCTATTGCTACAAATAACTATATTTCGAGACCCGTCGAGATCACCGCGAAGAACGCCAGGACTCGACGATAGAATATCTCTCCCAACACGAATCCCACACCAAATATGCGCTCCTTTATATGATCACTGTAGTAAGTGCCATAAGGACCTATCCGTCTCAGTGCTTGCCTCGTGCGGTGCTGTCAGACTTTACTCTTGCGAGGACGGAGCCTCTCATTCCAGTTGCATGTCTCTAGACCGTAGCTCTTGGGGGCCTTTTCAGGGAAGCAGTGGTTACGTGGCAGATTCCGAACCCAGCTCACAACCCTGGGCACTCTTTTTATTCACTTGAAATTGGAACGACAAAAATCCAAAAATTAAGGACATCCCTAATTCGCACAGCACATATGTATATACAAACATACACACATACCTTAAATTAATTGCATTATTGTTTCTATTATTTGCCTACTGGATTACTGAGTATAAAGTTAACAACAACAACAACTAACAACAATAGCTAAATAAATAACTGTTTTGGCTGCTGCAATCAAATAGTAACGCTTTCGATGTGTGTCAGTGTGTGCGTTAATTATAATTTATTCAATTTAATTTCCTTCTTTTTTGGGATTTTATGTAAGCGTTTGCCTCGGTCCATGTTTTCGTTCTGTCTTTGTTCATTTGTTTGTCCATTCGCTTACTCTGTTGTTTACTTGTCGCGGCATAAATATTTGCATTTGATTTAATAACGTCGCACAGCCATCTCAATCGCTTTGGATCGCTCACTCTCGCTCTTTCTATTTTTATATACCTCCCTCTCTCACAAGAGCTTCCCAAATTTACACTAAAACTGGTTTTAAATTCATATATATGCGTCCCGCTCTTTCAACCTCTTTCCATTTTTTCTTGCTGTCTTTTGTTAGCGCGTTCTGTTTTTTTTTTTTTTCGTTTTTTATTCGCAATATTTTAACTTTTTCGTTGTTCCATAAGTGAATTATGAAAATGTGCAAATGAAATAAATCAAAGTCGTAATTTCATTTTTTCTATTTTCCCTCGTTTTGGTCATCCATTATGCATGTTCGCCGTTGAACTGTTGGCGATGCTGTTATTTACGAAAATTAAAATAAATTGTCGCATAAATTTGATTTTGCCATAAATTCGTCAAACGTCCATTAAGTTAACTACAACGGCTCTAAAACCAGAAATATCCATTTATCCATATATTATATTATTTAGTGTGCATATTAAAAAAAAATGGCAACGTTGTCACATTTTATTTAAACGAAGTGCATTTTCAGTGAGCAAAACATTAATTGGAGGTGACTTAAATGGTTAATGCAGGTTTAATGTTCACAAAAAGTTAACCCTTGATTGACCAAATAGTGATTATTAAAGTCATTGCAACCAAGTCGGATTAGAGCAGGTCAAATATGTGTGGGGGAACCACACTCCCCATTTCTATTATATTTGACCTGCTCTAATCCGACTTGGTTGCAATGGGCATCGCAGTTTGGTCATTATGTGAAGCTAGAGATTAAAACTCGATATCTATCCCTGGAAGACAATCACCACTATTATGCAGGTTAAAAGGCATTTTCGGTTGGCGACCGATATTGAGAAGGATATTCTAATAGGCGAATTGAAAAGTACCCGGCTGATCTTATTAAAACATATATTTTTGGCAAAATTCATTTTTTTTTTATTTCGCATGGTTCCCTTCAAGAGTGATACACAGATCAATGCAACTCTTCAACTTTTTGATACCATTTTTAAAGTACGATTTGTCTTTTACTTCAAAATGGTCCTCAGGTTTGGCGATCAACTCTTCATTCGACAAAAATTTCCTTAAAAATCTAGGCATTATTTTGAGATCTGAGAACAGAAAATATACGCTGGAAAATACAGTGAATGCGGAAGCAGTTCGAAACCCAATACATGTATTTTTACCATCGTTTTCATTGACTTGTGCCACTGTGCATGTTCCTGGTGAAGCAGCACTTATATTTTCTCAAGGCGGCCGTTTTTCGTACTTCAAACATTACAGTAACGCTGTGTAATAGTCGCCATTAGTCATCCATATTTTTTTAAGGACGTCAGTAAAAATTATTCCAAGCTCATCTGAAATTACAGACGCCATAATCATGCCAACCGACTGTTGCGCTTTTCCATACTTTGGAGCGGGTTCATGTTATGCAGTTCGGATGGCTATCGATTAGACTTTGTAGTGAAATGATGGCATCATATTTCATACTTTGTCACATATCGACACAAAAACTTACCCTCATACATCTTCAAACACTGTTCAAGTGTCGTTGCTTTTGCTTAAAAGCAAAGTCGCGCGGCACCTACTTTGCACAGAGACACTTGATATTTTTAATGTGTCTGCTATCTCGAACGACTTCACTCTAAGGTTATCAAAATTATTTTGTGTACCTTTTTTTTAAGATTCCCACGGTAAAAATCACATTTGAGTTCTGCTGCATTCACCGTATTCGGGTCTCATTTCACCACGTCTTGACAACTGACAAGTTTTGAAGGTTAGGACAGAACTAAAAATCATTGAATTAATTCTAGTTTTAGCACCTAGTATACTTTGACTTCCAAAATTGATTAGCCATAAAACCATGGTGTCTAACATAGACGTAATATAAACAATATAGTTTCTTGACTCAAGTTAAACTTATTGCTTTCTCTGAACTGCATTTCATCAATCAATTGTTCAATTTCAAAACTTTCTTGCCATATATATCAATTATTCACAAGATCTGCATTTTTACTGCTATTTTTATATGGCTCTGGCAGAATGGTATAACCTAGCCCGAGGGACATGTGGTAATTCAGATTTTAGTAGCAGTATCACTACGTCAGGGAAACCATTCCACGTTCATCGTGAAATCTTATGCTAGATTCCCTAGGATATCACAACGTTTGTTCACTGGTTTTGACGAAACCGTAGGCGACTGTAGACGGTTAAGTGTATTTCTTGTTGGGAGCACACTCTTTGTCCGTACAAGAAGGCTTTCTTTAATGGCTGTGATCACCGCTTGAAAAGCGTTACAGCGGTCTGGTAGTCGACGAGGAGTCTGGTATCCAATTTTGCGGAAAAGACACTACCTCCCACAGGATCATTTACTTTGAATGCATTATATGATTAGCGCCCCGGTCCATCTCAGCTCCCTTACACTCTGCTCAGAAAGGAAGGACAATATTGGAAACCTAATTTAAGTTTAGGTATTTCGTAT